TGGGAAATAATAAATTTCGAAAGAAACGACACAAGATCCAGTTCGGTACAACCTGATCTACCTCTAGACAAAATCAATTTTTTACTACAATTGCAGATAATATAATTACATCTCCTCCCGCTATTAATGTCAATATCCAATAATAAAAATTATTCTCCTAGCAAGTCCTTTTTTTTCATCCCCTTATGGAAGAAGAGGTTTCAAATAGTAGTCTCTTAGTAATTCTAATTGTAGGGACGTTCACGAAATTAATAGCAAAATTTTGAAAGAAGCTTACCAAACAGTTTTAACACCTTTTACTTATCTTATTAATTTAATTCTATTAACTGGAGTACTTCCAGAAGTACTAAAATACTCAAAAGTATTAAATCTACAAAAAAGGTGATTCCTCAAAAACTGACAATTACAGACCCATAAGCATTGCTTCTACTTTTGGGCAAGTGATTGAAAAAGTTATTAAACAACAATGTTATTCTTATTTTGAGTCAAATAGTTACTTTCGCAACTCATAATATGAATCCAGAAGTGCTCGTTCTACGACGAACGCGATATTTAATGTTCTGAGCGAGGTGATTGAGGGGCTTGAACGCGGAAATCGCATAGCAATTTCTCTTTGCGACTTGTCGAAGGCTTTTGATTGCGTTTCACACATTTTGCTCCACAAATTAAATTACTATGGAATCAGAGGTGTCTCTCTTAAGCTTCTAACTTCTTATTTATGTGGCGGACACCAGGCGGTAGTGTCTAAAGGTCATCTCTCCGATTTTCTATCCGTAAAACATGGAGTCCCACAAGGTTCGGTCTTAGGACCTCTTTTGTTTATTATTTATGTCAACGATGTGCCTAAGTTCATATCTCCGTACAAAACCATACAATTCGCAGATGATACGATATACACTGTACCCCAAAATTAACGCATAATTTTAAAAACCCTGGTAAATCAAATAATTTTAATGTTTCGATTTTTGTGCTAATATATTATTGTTACCCCCGGTACATTGTAAAATTTATCAAAAGAACGGGAAAAAACGCTGATGTTTTTACCATTTTTTGCAAAAACATTAAAAACATGCTAATTGTGCTTCATTTTATTTCGAATTTAGTTGGGTTGGATTATGTTGTGCTGAACGTTTAAAGGGGTTTTTTAAGTTTATTAAGTGTTTTTTCTTTGAAATGAACCACCAGCAGCAAGAAAATCGAAATTTGTCAGAAAGTGACTGTTTTAGAATTCGTACTCTTCGCGAAGAAGGATACACTCACTCGCTGAACGTTTTAAAGTTACCCAGTCAACAATTTCAAGATCGTTAACACGTTTTTCTGTTATTAAAAGTAACTCAAGAAGACCCGGTCAAGGCCGTAGAAGGGTTACAACTCCTAATCAAGACCGGTTTTTTGATACTTCGTACGCTGAGACAAAGGTTTATTACCAGTACTTATCTACAAAATGAATTTTTGGATCGTTATAACTTTAGAATCAGCCAAAATACGATTAGAAGAAGACTTGCCGAAAACGACGTACACCTTGGAACGGCACTAATTGCCCATTATTGACCAGACACCATAGAAGGTAAAGATTGCATTTTGCTCGTGAAAATGTTGATTGGAATAATGACGATTGGGGAAGAATATTGTTCACCGATGAATCCAGATACTGTCTTTTTTCTGATGACAGGAGAAACCGAGTGTATAGAAGGCCTGGGGAACGCTACGCACAGTGTAACACCGTAGGGACTGTACAGTATGGCGGCGGCTCGGTAATGGTATGGGGTGGGATTAATTTAGAGGCTCGTACGGAATTGTTAGAATAGATCGCGGTCGGCTTACATCGCAGAGGTATATAACAGACATTTTAGAAGAGCATGTCGTGCCATTTGCACAATGTATTGAGGATTTCATGCCTATGCAAGATAATACCAGGCCACACACGGCAAGAATTGTGCAGCATTATCGTCAGCAGGTTGGAATTCCTGCCATGGATTGGCCTGCGACAAGTCCTGACCTCAACCCAATAGAACATCTTTGGGACATCATAGGCAGACTACTACGACAACTACCTAATACACCAAACACATTAGATGAACTGTTTTTGCGGTTGGTTGAAATTTGGGATCAAATTGATCAAGAAGAAATCGGAACGATTATTCTCAGTATGAGAGATCATTGTCAAGCAGTAATAAATGCCAGACGAGGCAATACTCGATACTAAATTTCAATTTCGTCATTAATTTATAATGTTAGTTTGTTTAGATCAGTTGTTTGTTGAGATGTTTAGATTTATGATAATTACTATTTAAATGGGAATAAGCCACAATTAAAGGTTAAAAGTTATAAAAAAATATCTTCTAAAGCATTGTTTTAACTGCTCAAAAGAATATATCGTTGGTTTACTGCCAAAACCAGATAAGTGCATTTTTTACCATGTTTGAGTTAAGTGTATTTTCGTAATCAAAATCCGTATATAAATGTACTGCGTAAAACAAATAAGTGTCAGACAATGGAAAAGAGGTGAATTATGTAGGCTTGTTTTGGCAATTATTCATTTTGGTCAAAACTGTACAACTGAAACAAGATAAGTGCACATTTAACGAAAAGTACAAATTTAATATGCAAAAAGAAAATTAATTCTTCTAGAAAAACCGGTTAGATGCCATTTACCTTATTTTTGCTGTTGAAGTAAAGTAAATTTATAGAATGACTATGCGTATAAAACAGATTAGTGCAATTATCTTGTTTTTGCAGTTTATTTTATCGTTACTTTAGTATGCCCAAGTGTGCAAAACAAACAAAAATGTCATTCAAGTGCAGTGCTCCAATTTCAGAAGAAAGAAGAGTGGTGTTATGCCAAAACTTCTGGGCCTTAGATTTTAACCACCAAAAGGACTTCATTCTGAATAATGTAGATAGTCATAGGCCAATAAGAATAAAAAGTAACCCGTCTGGTAAAAAAAGGTTGCGTATTGATTCAAAAGAATTCTATTTCAAGAATTTCAAAAAGAAATATTATTGTCAGCTCGGCACACAATACAAGACTAATGAAGAAGAAAAGAAAAAGCAATTACAGACGCAATATGAAGAACACGTAGTTCGAAAAGAGGATCGCTACACAGGAAAAGCAAGAGACAAAGCTAGGGCTATGAAGCAGGCCAATTTTGTATGTGCTACATTTGACTTGCGATGTGTGCTTCAAATACCGAGTAGCGACGTGAGTCCAATGTACTAGGGTCGAAAAATTTGCACTTATAAATTGACGGTGTATGAGCCAGCACCTTCAAATAATGCGGTTTGTTATAGCTGGACAGAGCTTCATGGAAATAAGGGGTAGCTTAGTAATTGGCACCTGCCTCTTTACTTATATTAATCAGCTTCTCACTAGTCTAAATACAATATCAGTGTTTTCCGACAGTTGCAGTGGACAAAACAGGAACCAAAATGTTAGAGCTTTGTTACTCTATTTGGGTCAAAAAAATCGCAACCTGATGATTATAGAGCAAAAGTTTCTGAAAAGTGGACACAGCTACATGGAAATTGACAGTATGCACAGTACCATTGAACGAGCCCAGAAGTATGTTCCTGTGTGTATACAATGCATGACTGGCTAACAATATTCCGCATGGCCAGAACATCATCAAAAAAGAAACCGTTTGTTGTGCAGGAACTCAAATATAAAGATTTTCTTGGCTTAGAAGGCCTTTCTGAGCTTATTAAAAATAAAACGAGAGACATGAAAGACGAAAAGGTAAACTGGTTAAAAGTTAAGTGTTTTCGATACCAAAAGGCTAAACCAGGAATCCTTGAATATCGGTATGATCATACCTCAAAATACAAAGAGATAAACGTTTATGGGAGAAGTCGAAAAATACCTAATTTGAAAGAAATATCGCTAAAGGACGCATATACAAAGATTCGGCCTACAAGTTAAAAAAAACAAGATTTTTATTAAAGTTGTGCAAATCGGGTGTGATTCCAGATGAATTTCACTATTATTATAATTTACCATCTTCCGACGTTGTTCAAGACAATATTCCTGAACCAGCACTTGAAGATAGTGATCCTAAAGTTGCCATTTAAGTTAAAGATACTGACAAGTTTCAAATTACGCCAATCAGTTCAAGCAAAATAGGTTAAGTGCAGTTTTTTTGCATTCTTTTATTGTTTTCAATTTTTTAACATTTCCTAATTTTTTTTCTGATTTTTGTCGTTAATTATCTTCACAGTACCACAATATATGTTATTTTATCGGTTATTAAATGTTTCCTTTCATGTTTTACTGTAGGCTTAAACTTTTAAACTTGATTTTTACAAAACTAACAAAATGTAACTTATCTGGTTTTGGCAGTAAACCGACGATATGCCTCATTGCAGAACATCCACTGAACTTCTTACCGTAACTTTGCCATAAATGTTTTTCTGTTTAATATGTGTTCTTGTTGGTATATATTTAAGTTACGTTTTATATTCCTTTTTTAATATTATGTATTTTTTTGACTTGCTACAAACAATATTTGTATCTGTTATGTAGTTAAATAAATACTCTACTCTACTCAATTAATCACGAATCGGGTAATTTTTGAACAATAATGATATAACTTGACCGAGATTTTTCTGACCAAGATATTTAGTATTATTCACAGTTTTATCTGTTCTTTAATTCCATTTGAACTGATTATTTTTGCGGCTTGGTTTATATTTGAGATTATGATTAATTGTTTCATATAACTTACCTCGAGAACGTTATTTGAATGGTGGACAAAATTGCTTTAAACTGTAAATTACTATAATCAAGGAACATCTCTACATTAAACAAATCTATTATTCACTATGACTCATAAATGGTAATGTCCAGTTTTAAAAATAGACACCAATAAAGATTTTGAGATTTTCCTAGTTAATTATGCATAAATATGTGCATTTTTGCCGGTGGTCAAAGATGTATACGAGGGATATGACATAAATTACGCAGTTACTGTTAAAAAAGTATCTAAAACCTTATTTTCTTGCAGGACAAAGAAGTAGCAACATTGATCGAAAATCTCTACACAAAGTTCAAAATGTACGTAAGAAAGTTTGAATCGCCTGACACCACAGAAAATAGACAACCTCTATTGTCGCATTTGGAGAGGATCAACGACTTCATGGCAAAGAGAGGAACGAGATTTTTAACCGGTGACACTATGTCATGTTTTGACTGTGAATTGATGCCTAGGTAAGTAATCGGTATTACATATTAAACTATCCTTATTCTTTAATATTAAGCTTGATCCAATATATTTAGTTATTGGTAAAAGAACAAGTCTTACAGCTTATTTCAAATCGGGTGGTGAGCCCTTCCACGAAATAGCTAATAGCACAGACAATAGAATATCTATTCTCAGACCCATGCAGTGGCGTTGCAATACTAAATAAATTAAATGATTTGAAATCGCACTAATTACACAATTATTACTCACTTAAATAATAAATGGAGTTTGATTGTACACAGATTGTTTTATAGATACCGAACTTTTTGTTTGTTATAATACCATCTTTAATAAATAATTGATACTCTATAAACTTTAGTAAAAGTTAATTTCTAATTTAGTATCAGTAAACTTAAAACCGTAATTATACAGTCATTATTAATGACTCCTTAACGACTAGTTAACATAAAAAGAACACTTGCTAAAAGGAAAGCAACCATGATAGACTTGAGGGAGTATGATAAACAGTTCATTAGAAATACCATTCATCCATTTTCATGAGACTGAACGTTGTCGTGTATCATTGAAGCTTTTGCAGAAGAGGTGTACGAGTGGACTGGAGGTGTGAGTTCTCTCTACAGAATTGTGAAAGATTTGGTATTTAAATAAAAGAAAACGAAGGATAATCGACGTTTATTAATTGAACGGAATGATATTCGTGATCTACCCATTAAATATTTGGACAAAATTAAATATTACAGTAGCGAAGGTAAGTCAATTGTATATGTTGATGAAACCTATGTACATGCAGGACACACTACGCCAAATAGCTGGACAGATGACAGTGGCAAAGGATTGTTCAAAAATATTTCAAAAGGAAGTAGGTCGGTTATCGTACATGGCCGTGGGGAGATGGGTTTCATGCAGAATGCCTTTTTGATTTTTAAGTCAGGAGTTAAGACAGGAGATTGTTGTTACTGATAAAGTATCCATGGTTCACACTTTCCCGTCAATTTGGGGTAAGTGTGACTAGTTTACAACACCGTCTGTGGCGCAAGTGTAAATAATTTAAACGTGCAAGAAAAAACGAATTTTTTAGTGTTTAAAAAATTTTAATTTATTTATTTTTAAGCAAGTTACTTTAAAGGTTCAACCCGACAAAATTTACGTCAAAAATAAAATGATCCATGCTGTCTTTAACGGATTCTGGTAAAGTTTTTATGATATCGTCTTCAACTATCATATCCGTGTCTTCTATGTCAGATCTTACAAGATATAAATCTTGTTATCAATACTTCCAATAAAATGTTTAATATGTTTCTTAGGTGTGTACTCTACAACAACTCAAATACCCAGCGCGATTTGGGTCCTTCCCAACTCTCCAACTGTTGGCACTTCTTTCTCAATAATTATTGGCTCGTTTTCTTCAACAAATATTTCAGGATCTAAATTATCTTCAGAGTCAACATATTGTACCAAATCCTTTTCTGATTCTCAGCTACTAAAAGTTTCTTCTCGTTTCTTAATCCGCGTCGGTTTTTGAATTTTTGTTAATTTTTTCTTTCTGCGTTCTTCTCAGTTTCAGCTCCAATTGTTGTTTCTTCTTCTAAACTCTTTTGTTCTTTTAATCTTTTTAGGCTTTCAGGGTGATATTTTTCCTCTGGTATGACATGACGGTTAAATGGATATATACCAGCTTTTCTAAACCCGTTTTTGATCAGTTCTACGCTTATGTTTTTCCATGTAGTGCTTATCGTCAGAGAAAAATCGTCAGAGTTGTTGGTCCCAAGCGTCTTTTAGAGACTTAAATACGGCTAAATCCAAAGGCTGAAGAAGGTGGCTGGTATGAGGAGGAAGTTTCTTGTTAGTTCTTGTTATCTGGTAGCCAGGAATCCCAAATATGTTTTCCCTTGAATACGAATAGTGATGGTGTCTTCTCTTCCTGGACCGGAAGTAGTTCTGGAACTTGGTTTACCTTTAGCTCCCACGACTTTGGTTTTTTGGGTCGTGAGAAATGGATGTTTCGTCCATATTCCACACGAGTTGCGGCTTGTCCTCTAATTTTAGCTGAACTAAAGTTTTTTTGAGAATATCAAATATTCTTGGATGATGAAAGGATCTGTCATTTTTTTCTTGACCTTGACCACAGCTTGGAGTTTTTTTATGCTAAGTTGGTGACGTCTTTTAAAACTCCCGAACCTCTCATCCCTAGGAGTGTTATCCTTAAATGGAGTTTTTATGTCATTGTTGGTAACAAAATCGCGAACAATCTCTAGTAGTTCCAATCTCAATATTCCAAATCCCCACTGCTCCATAGTTTTTAGTCCTTTTATTTTAAATTTAAAGATTTAAATCATCTTAGGTAGGTATATTTGGTTGCTCGGTCCGACTTCCGTTTATAGTTTCTCACCATGTTCAATTTAGAATTAAAAATTAAAAGATAGTTTTGGAAGTTCACAGTTGCCCAGTAAGTGTGACCTGTCATAATTCAGTTAAAAATTAAAATTGACAATTTTTTAATACATACAACGTAATATATTTGGTTGTTAAACAATCCTGCATACCATAAAATATTTACTTACCGCCTAATACTCGCTTCTCACAAAATTTGTAAACAAAATCTGCACACTAACATACGCCAACGGACAAATATCAAATTAGTTGTTTTCAACAAACTGCGTATTTGCATAGATCGCTGTTTCAAGAACTTAACTTTCTACTTACAAGATGCCGCTGGCATCACTAAGTTGTAGAAAATTTTATATAGTATAGTCACACTTGCCCACAATCACACTTCCCCAGGTTTACCTTATGAAAATTTTAAAACGATAGAAAACACAGTATGTCGTTTCGCCCTAGTCAACAGTACCGCCTACTGTACCACTTTTCATACTATTGTGTCTTACGACAAAGAATTGCTTGCCCCATATATGCAAAATTTTATTTCAACCTACATTAAACTGTACATGAAACGATCATTTTGGTTGATGTACTAATATAACCCTTTTTCTGCAAAGCTCTAGATTTATATTAACTGTCATTCCACACAGTAATCTACTTTTATTTTCAGACTGCAACATATCCGCATAGGAGCCAAAGCCTTCCGCAAATTCGAGATCCCCTCTACATTTAAAGCTTTGTGGAACTACATGTCAAACATGTACGAACTCGAAGCATTCGTCCAGAGTTGCCCGGCCGATCAAGATATCATCAGTCATATCAAAAACCAATTGGGCCTTAAAACAACCGCGCGGATAGAATTGGAAACGCCTGTATACACAACAGCCATTCCGGTGCTATCTGAATCGTAAAGAATAACATAAAATAAAAAATAGAGTCGGTTTCGTGATATTTTGATAATGTAATATGTATAGACTTGCTTAAATTGGACAAACTTGACGTATCAAATATAAATCGTATTTTAAATAACATAAATGTCCTAATATATAGTGCCTTGTATTGCTTTTTTAAACTTAATCCTTTTGGGTCACTATAGGGCCGTACGCAGAAACAAATAAATTAGTACATGTAAACTGAGTACATGACAAAACTATTTATTCATATATTTTTTTTGATATTCTGTGTTGTACTTGATGATTTTGCTAGGTATGTGCCATCCATAATTAGTATTACTGGATTTTTTGACAGATGTCAAACGTCACGATTGTCAAACACCAATTATTGACAGTCATTTTCAAAAAGTTTTGAAGAACGACTTAAAAATGTTGGAAATTATTACCTTTGTACATGACTACTACTACTTCTGCTGCTATATACTGTTATGTGCTTATATGGCTTATTCTAAATGTAACTGAACAATATTCGAACAATTTTATATCTTATAGCTGAATCTTTCGAGCCGCTGTTTTAAATATTACAAAACCGACAAACAATTTATTTTTATATGCATTTTCGACTACGACCTAGTCAGGGGAAGTAATCAGTAAGTTTCTTCCATTAAGAGTCAGCTACCACTACAGCAGTTTTCGCAAATTACAGCAAAAAGTTCATAAGACCTCTTTTTATTATTATTAATAAATATTAACAGATTATTGTACTTACTATAGCAGGGCGATAAGTGGGAACAAAGGATATCTTCGATTAGAAATATCTTTAGTTACAGTAATGTAAAAGTAATTATCGTGGCACATAGAAATGTCGTTTCTATGACTTCCAGTATTACTATTTTTATCTTTAGGTGACTTTAAATTGCAGTTCATTTTCTAATTAATGAGAAACTGCTTTTAAATTGGCTTGACTGACAAATGATGACGAAGGATGGTCACGATTATATTGACTTTCAAGATTGCCAACTGTTTTGTTTTTGTGTTTATATCGACAATTGTTTGAATTTTAGGCCTTCTATACTACTATGGAATATAGACAACATATTATGAGACGATAAACTCCTTAAATCCAAAAATGAAAAATCACCCTTGTATATCAAATTGTCAAGATGCAGCTAATGAATTCTGTGTTAGAACAGATATGCATATAAAAACTGCAAGAAGAACTGTAAGTTGCATACATTTGGTGTCACTAAGCTAACCTAAATATTGCAATTGCTATTGCAATGTTTTTAATAATATTGACACTTTTGAAATAATAGCCATACGATAGAAAAGGCAAAAGTGATCATAATTTAGGGATTCTTTGTCAACCAGAATAATTAGGATTATTCCTAAGATGGAACAGGATGATTCCTATATCGTAATATGATATTTACGTCTTGACTGAATGATATAGATTGATAGTTAAAGTACCTATCCAGATAATCAATCAATTCTTGATTTTGTGAGACAGTTGTAGGGTGGTTGCTGACTCTTGCTGATTATTATAAAGCATTTTTGACAACTTACATAAAAATATGTAAAAAGCATTTTTACAATGTGATGAGAAAATATTTATGTACCAATTGTTTCTTTGTAAATAAAAGTTCTTAATTTTTGAATTTAATTGAGTTTTTTAAATGTTAGGTTTGAAGAAATTGATGTAAAAAATTTCTAATACCGCTTTCTTACAATTTACAAATGTGAAATATTTTGTTTAATACTTTCTCTTTTCTATATAGTTACAATGATGTACTGGAGTTATTATTTTTTAGATATTTAGGCGAACTTTGTATTTTTACTAGGTCCCGTTGGAAGCCTGGATGCTTTCGACTGGATTAATTATTAATAAAGGTGTAAAATATTTGTTGTAGTGGTTTTATTATTTCCTTATACTGACATTACTACGAGGTATGTTCGTAGTGGACCGTATTTTTGGTTATATCTTTGAAGTGAGTCTTAATATAAAATTGAGTAGAACAATGTAATAAAAATAGAGTGGGAACTGTGCCAAAGGGACTAGACGAGCATTCTATCCTCGCTAATGGATCTCTCTGACTATTGTATTAGTATCAAAAATAACACTACAAGGGCGGTCCGATAAGTACTTAGCCTACAAAAGAAAAAAACACGAAAATTTTGGAAAAGTGGCGATTTATTTCTCAACATAGTCTCCTTTTAGCTCTCCATTCGATTTAAATTTCTGCCCGGTGAGTGCCTTTTTCAAGTTTGTAAACAAAAAGAAGTCACACGGGCCCAAATGTGGAGAACACCTTGGATGGGGCAACACCGACAGCTTTTTCGTGTGCAAAATTTCATGCAGGATATGACCTACGTTGTCTTTGAGATGCCTACTGTCTCAGCTATTCCGCGCACCTCCAGTCGGCAGTCTGCCAATACGACATCGTGTATTTTTGTCACGTTATCCTTTATGATAGCAATTTTCGGGGCACTGAGGCGTGGTTAATTAAAAACGTGACCACGTTAAAACTTGTTAAACAAATTTTTAACGGTACCATCAAAGGAGAAGAGGTTTGACAACCGATAATGCTCTTTTTCTGTTATTATAAAATCCGCGAACACGCACACGGTTAAAAATTAGAGATGTTGACATTAACATTCTAAGAGAATATATTATACGATAGTAGATTTCTCTTGAGATAGTGGCGTCATCGGACCGTGAGGCTAAGTACTTATCAGACCACCGACGTAGTGTATCATCTGCTGTCATTCATTGTACATGTAACAAATAAGCTGTACAGAGAATGACAGACCATGGCCTACCGAAGTTAATATAGAATTGACACCCGTGTGAAAGAAAAAAAAACGAGGAAGGCCAAAAAGAACATAGCTTGATGGTTCGAAAGGCAATGTCAGAGAGAGATCTATAACCAGTAGACTGGCCGATATACGTAAATAGAAACTGGAAACCGGAAGGCTCAAGACGCTATGAACCGAACATACGAGGAGCCTAGAAGTTAAGAGATATTAGTCAATTTTGAGTAATCGCTGTTTAAATGTAACTGCCATGATTTATAATACTTATTTTTCTTCTCCAGTTTACAAACTAATTATTAATATTTGTAACAATAAATTATAATTTTTTGGTATCACTAATTTTAAGTTGCTAAGCAAGCACTTGAACCCTTTAATTTTTAAAAAGTAAAGTTTAAGTACAAATATATCTTTTGCAATAACACTAACAAATTGTTTGTTACAGTGCAACAGATATATTGATATAACATTGCAAAAAAGAATTAACTAATTTTTTAATTGAATATAAATATTTTACTAACAAATTTCATACAAACAATCGCCATGACATTCGCTTAGGATTCATCAATATCACTGTCGTAATTGTGATTAAAATCGTCAATTTGGCCTGCTTGTTTAGCCTCTTCTTATAGTACATTTGAAAATTATTGATAGCACAAATTTTATAGCAAATGTACAAATACAGGGTTGATCAATGCAGAAAGAAAGTAATAATTGATACCTTAGCTGAATTTTCTTTTGTAAAACCAGAATTCAAAGGCAGCCAACTTATTCAGATGGACTTATTTTAGTGTCCACTCTTCCAAGCCATAAAGAAAAGTAGAGAACAAGTAACATTGAAGCATTCTCAGGCGTAGTTCTAACCTTATATCCCGACAACAAAGAAACTTTTTAAGCTTAATGAATGATGTACGTACTATTTCAATACGTGTCTTAATTTCTTTGGTTTGGTCTAAATCTGATGTTATCCATGTTCCTAATTATTTATAGTTATTAACACTCTCAATTGCAGTATATTTAATAGTCAATTAGATATTTGCATGTGCAGATTTAGTCATGATCCTGCATTTAGTTTTCTCTAAATTTATCTTCAGTCCGTACTCATGACAGCGTTCATTAACCCCGTTGCATTGTTCTGTAAATTATTGTTGTTGTCCGTCATTATTACTGTATCCTCTGCAAAACGTAAGATAGATAGATATACCTTCTATTGAGGCTGAGAGCGCTTCTTGAAATATTGCCTTCACTGTAGACATTGAAAAGTAGTGGGGACAGCACGCAACCCTGGCGGACTCCTATCTGTATTTTGATATTTTCAGTGTACTGGCTGTCAACTCTTACCTTGGCAGTTTGATTCCAATATAAATTAGATATAATTTTCATATCACCACTGTCAATATTTTTGCTTTTTAATATATCTACAAGGTTTTATGTTGAACCTTATCAAATGCCTTTACAAAGTCTACAAAACATAAGTACATGTCCTGATTCATGTCCATGCATCTCTGAGCCAGCACATTCAAGCCGAACAAAGCATCTCTTATACTCATACCATTTCTAAAGCCAAATTGTTTGTCACTAATTTCATATTCAAGAGTTTTAACAATTCTGCTGTGAATTATTTTGAAAAATGTAACTGTGTGACTCATTAAAGCTATTGTTCTGTGATCTGAGCAAGTTGTTGCACTTGGCTTTTTGGGAATTGCTACAAAGGTCGATTGCAGCCATTGTGTGGGGATTGTGGCAGTCTGATATATTGGATTAAAGAGTTCAACCATTACGTCAATAACATCTTCATCGATGAATTTTATTAATTCGATGGGCACACCATCTGGTCCAGTAGCTCTACCCTCTTTTGTGTTTTTGATGGCATAGATGACTTCTTCTCTTAATATTGGTGGTCCGGTATCCTCGGTGATTTATAATGACAGTTCTTCTCTCCGCCTTTATTGACGGAGAACATAAAATTACTTTAATATAAAAAAACTAAAATGTCAATATTACGTACTCACATTAATTTTTATAAAAATACTAAATATTGGTTTAGGACATTTCCTAAACTAACTATCTAATAATAAATATACCTAAATATATAAGTTGTCTTCTTCCGATAAGGAGGCATCATCATCAGTTTCTTCATTTCCTACAGAAATAATAATTGGTTCTATTGTTTTCTCTATTAACATATCGAATTTCCAGAAAGTTTC